TGCGCCCTGGACCCACCACCTGCCCAGTCACCCAAACTAGCGAGCGATCCGGGAACCTGCGGGACCTTCCTCACGCCCGGCCCTGCGTCCACTCAGGTCCACTCAGGCCCCATCACGGGCCCTACTGACCAACTACGTCCCCCCCTCCGCCCAAATCAACGGGGCTAACTCTTCCCTTGCGTCTCATGGGCCCCTCTGTCGGACAGGGCGAGCTCTCTAGAACCGTCCACGGAGTCCCTATTCAGCAGTCCGTCCACTCGCTAAAATGTATTTGTGTCACCCCCAAATGGATACACGCAGCATCTTTGCCTCCGCAGCCCAGGTGGGACGCACACAGGTGCACAGCGCCGCGCCCGGTCTGAGCCCCCACCCGCCCCCCGACGCGCGCGACCCCAGCCGAGGCCCACGAGGATCGCCCTGCGGCCCCATCTCGCCTCCGGGACTTGAACGAAGCCATTTGAGGGCGACGGATCGCCGCGCGTTCCCCTTTGGGGGCTTTAGGTTGGCGATTTTGCCGCTTGAATGGGCCCCCCGGGGAGCAGCACCGGCCGTCTGGCTCCTAAGCACAGGGGGCGGTGGTGACCCCAGGGAGGAAACGCACCTGCTGGATGAGGCGGGTTCCGGGGAGACTCCCGGCCGTGGGCTGCGATTCCACACCATACGTTAGACACGCTGTGTTTGCGCAGAAACACCCGGAACCCGAGGCCGCGTGCGGACCGGTTGCCGGACGTGTTGCACCCCAAACCCCGCAGACCCTAACCGGGTGCGTCCCCCGCTGGCGAAGTTCCAGCGCTTGGGCCTCGGTGTCCGTGGTGACCTCGCGGAGCCTTAGGACCACGAGCGAGGGAGGGGACCCGGGGGTGCCCGCCCAACCACGTAGTCCCTTCCGTCCTTCCCGCCTCCCTCCGCCCTCGGGGTCCCCCACACTCCTTAGCGCCCTGGCCTAGGTCCTTCGTCATCCGGGCTGTTCTCGCCACCTTCCTGGCACCTTGTGGTGCCCCTGCCCAGCCCTCTCCCTAAAGCTCTTCCCTGGGCTTTTTTTTTTCTTTTTTAAGATTTATCTATTTCTTTGGCGGGGGGTGGGGCAGAGAGAGAGAGAGAATCTGCAAGCAGACTCCCTGCTGAGCCCAGAGCCTCGCGTGCATGGGGCTCGGTCCCAGGACCCCAGATGGTGACCTGAGCTGAAGCTAGGAGTCGGACCCTTGGCAGGCGGAGCGGGCCAGGCGCCCCGCGTCTGCTGTGTGCGAGCGGCTCTGCACATTCCACGCCTCTGCCTCCAAGGCCTGACCTGTCATCGTCCCTCCGGCCCCTCCCGGTGCTGCTCCGCAGCCTCCCCAGTGTGTCCTCTGTCCTGTACTTGGGACTCATGCTGGGGGAAGGACTTAGAAAGGGACAAGGTGCCTGCTGATAAAGGGCACCTGGGACGGCCGATAGGATGACAGGCTGTGTCTGTGCACTGACAACAAGGTTTGGGGTGCTCCCCGCCCCCCCTCGCTGGCAATCGCTGCCTGGCCTGGGCTTTGCCTTTCTGCCCCAAAGTCAACGTTCATCCACGTGAGACCGCCAGTGGGCACACCGGCCCCCTTCCCCTACGTCTCGGGTGCAGAGACAGAGCAAGCACAAGGGCGGGAAGCCACTTCTTTGGGGGGGGGGGCCCAGGTGCTGGCCGTGACTGGGGCAGTGCCGCTCCCCGACGTCACAGGTCATCCTAGGGATGGCTTCCCTGTGCCCGGCCCCATCCAATCCCTGTACCTCCACTAGCTGCCCTGTTGGCACCCCAGCCCTGCCAGGCCGGTGCTGTCACTGTCCTGCCACGCGGGTAAGAAACTGGGGTGTCACACGGACAGGGAGAGACAGAGGTGGCATTGGGTCCACACAGGCCATGCACGGTCACTGCTCGGCTCTGTGCTCGTCATCGGCACAGGACACCCTCACGTCTCATTGTGCCTCAGGGAAGAGGGAAACCGCCCAGATCTGAAAGGACCAGAGGTGAGGTTCAGACGCAAGAGTGAGGGTCCAGATGCAGGGGTGAGGGCCCAGATGCAGGAGTGAGGGTCCAGATACAGGGGTGTATGGGGCCCAGATGCAGGGGTGAGGGTCCAGATACAAGGGTGTATGGGGCCCAGATGCAGGGGTGAGGGCCCAGATGCAGGGGTGAGGGTCCAGATACAGGGGTAGGGTCCAGATACAGGGGTGTATGGGGCCCAGATGCAGAGATGAGGGTCCAGATACAGGGGTGAGGGCCCAGATGCAGAAGTAAGGGTCCAGATGCAGGGGTATATGGGGCCCAGATGCAGGGGTGAAGGTCCACTTGCAAGGACGTGGGTCCGGATGCAGGGGTAAGGGTCCAGATGCAGGGGTGTATGGGGCTTAGATGCAGGGGTGAGGGCCCAGTTGCAGGGGTGAGGGTCCAGATACAGGGGTAAGTGTCCTGATTGCCGGAGTGTGAGACCCAGATGCAGGGGTGAGGGTCCAAATGCAGAAGTAAGTGTCCAGATGCAGGGGTATATGGGGCCCAGATGCAGGGGTGTGTGTCCAGATGCAGGAGTGAGGGTCCAGATGGAGGGGTGAGGGTCCAGATACAGGGGTGTATGGGGCATAGATGCAGGGGTGAGGGTCCAGATACAGGGGTGTATGGGGCCCAGATGCAGGGGTGAGGGTCCAGATACAGGGGTGTATGGGGCCCAGATGCAGGGGTGTATTGGGTCCAGATACAGGGGCGAGGGTACAGACGCAGGGGTGTATGGGGCCCAGATGCAGGGGTGAGGGTCCAGATACAGGGGTGTATGGGGCCCAGATGCAGGGGTGAGGGTCCAGATGCAGAAGTAAGTGTCCAGATGCAGGGGTGTATGGGGCCCAGACGCAGGGGTGAAGGTCCACTTGCAAGGATGTGAGTCCAGATGCAGGGGTGTGGGTCCAGATGCAGGGGTGTATGGGGCCTAGATGCAGGGGTGAAGGCCCAGTTGAAGGGGTGAGGGTCCAGATACAGGGGTAAGGGTCCTGATTGCTGGGGTGTGAGACCCAGATGCAGGCGTGAGGGTCCAGATGCAGGGGTGTATGGGGACTAGATGCAGGGGTGAGGCCCCAGATGTTGGAGTGAGGGTGCAGATACAGAAATATATGGGGTCCAGATGCAGGAGTGTGAGACCCAGATGCAGGGGTGAGGGCCCAAATGCAGGGGTGATGGTCCAGATGAGGGGTGAGGGTCCAGATGCAGGGGTGAGGGTCCAGATGCAAAAGTAAGTTTCCAGATGCAGGGTATATGGGGTCCAGATGCAGGGGTGTGGGTCAGATACAGGGGTGTGGGTCCAGATACAGGGGTAAGGGTCCAGATTGCAGGAGTGTGAGACCCAGATGCAGGGGTGAGGGTCCAGATACAGGGATAAGGGTCCAGATTGCAGGGGTGTATGGGGCCTAGATGCAGGGGTGAGGCCCCAGATGCAGGGGCGAGGGTTCAGATGCAGGAATATATGGGGTCCAGATGCAGGAGTGTGAAACCCAGTTGCAGGGGTGAGTGTCCAGATGCAGGGGTGAGTGTCCAGATGCAGGGGTGAGGGCCCAGATGCAGGAGTCCCCTGCCTTAAGGCAGTTCCCTGAAATGCCTCCACCATCGGACAGGGAAGCACCTGCTCTGGACAGGGCCTGTCTTGTCCCACTGAGGCTCCCCATTGAGCCCATTCGGACCCTGCTGTTTCTCCGCCCCCCTGCCCGCCCGCCAGGGCTCTCGGATCCCGCCGTTGTGTGGGAGCCAGACACCTAACACAGCGCCTGGCGCGCAGCAGGGTCTCAGCAACGATTCTTGAATTTAAACCATGGTTGCTGGAGAGGCCGTTGTGTGCGTGCTGGGGTGGGGGTTCCGTGTGCATGCCTGTTTGGGGGAGGGGCGGCTCTCTGCACAACCCCGCACGTACCCCTCGCAGGGGCACGAAGCGTGGACTGGGTTCCAGCAGCCGTGGGGGGCGGGGGAGGGGAGTCCCCGAGGCCCCTCGGCAGCCGTGAGGCCCTGTCAGCTGGTCTAGGCTTCTCAGCTGGCCCCGGAGGCCAGGGGTGTGCTCCTGGGGGCCCGGGCTGGCCTCTGCGTCCTGCTCACACTCCCTATCCCTGTGGGTTGACCTGTTCATCCAACAGGTGGGTCCTACCTGGAACGAGCTCGGCTGAGGTCAAGTGCTTCAGGACAGCCGGGACATGTGGGAGGTCAAGGCCACGGGGCCCAGAGGGGAGGCCCCTAAGTCCCCTGGAGCGGCAGTCAGGGAAGGCTTCTTGGAGGAGTAGCAGGTGATGAGAACAGCGAGGGGAAGGCACGCGGGGCGGGCCGTGAATGCCGCCGCCGCACGCGCTGGAGACGGGTGGGAGGCCCCGGCGCGGCCCCTGGACTCCCAGGGATTAGGGAAGGAGGAGAAGGCAGGACGGGCCTCCGCTGCCCCCACACACGGCCGGGGACGAGAGGACGAGCAGGGGCTCCAAGTGGCCCTGCGGTTCTCCCCCAACAGGGTGCGGACTCCGGGCTCCATGCCCCGGAGAGACCGAGCCTCAAACCCCGAGGCTCCTGGGCCTCCTCGGAGGCAGTGCGGGAGCCGCGGCCCAGCCAATGGTGGTGTCAGGGGCAGCTCCTCCTCCGAGGCCGGACACACCCAGGCGGCCCACGGGACACACCGTCCCTCCCGGCTCCCGTGAGTCGCAGCCCCAGCTGGGTCCGATGGCCCGCCGGCCCGCGTGGAGAGCCCTGAGGAGCAGCGCTCGGTAAGGTCCCCTGCGTGCGAGGACCCGGGGCACATGGCAGGGGGACTTCCCCGGTGGGAAGGGCGGGGGGGCCTGGACACTGCCGAGCCCCCGGGCTCTGATGCTGGAGGGACGGAAGGTCCTGCCCCCTGCCCAGCCTCTCCCAACCCCCCCGCCCGGCCGAGCAGGTGCGGGAGCCAGGGACCAAGTGGGAGGGGGCTCGCAGGGGTGCCGGGAGGCGGGCACGCCAGCAGCTCTCGCAGCCTGGGCTTACCGGGCCTCGCCCCACCACACCCCGGGCGGCTGGGCCAGAGCCTCCGGGGACCAGGGGCTGGAGCCTCCTGTCAGGCCGCCAGGGGTCCCGCCCACGTTGGGCGGGATGGAGCAGACAAGCCTATGACTCATGACCAAGTGGTAGGTGGTGTAGATGGGCCCGCGGAGAGACCGGGTGGGAGCAGAGACGCCCCCAGCCTCCTTGCCCGGTGTCCCACGCTCGGGAGGGGTGGCCCGGAGCAGCTGGGCAAGCGGCCTCCTGCCCCTTCAGGGACCCCGGACGCTCTGCTGCTCCCCGCACTGCACATCGCTCCCCGGTAAGTTGGGGGCAGAAAACATCACCCCCGTCACGCACAGGCTGCATGGGTGCCCGCGAAGTGCTCAGAACGGTGCCCGGGTGCCACACACACCCCGTGGACGTCGGCCCTAACCCCGCGCTGCTCGGCTAGAGCCGGCGGTCAGGACGGCTCCACGAGCCCGTTACACCCACCCCATGAGGGGCGGTGGGGACTCCGGGGGGAGCCCAGCGGGTGTGACTGGCACACCGGGGCCTCCGGGGACACTCCCATGCCCCCCCCCCCGACCCGGGAACCAGGCCAAAGCATCCCCAGACAGCACGTGGGGCCGGCTCCGAGCAAACGGAGGTAAATCCTTCGTGGCCGGCTCCCCCCGTGAAGCCGTGGGTTTCACTTTGCTATTTTGACACGACTGCTCCACATAATGATTTTTTTTTTTTAAATGGGTTCTGTGCCCAAAGTTCATGCTCTGCTACACGTTCCCCTGGGGGGCACCCTGGGGTAGATGCCTTAGCCCGGCCACGTCCAGGGAGTACTGAGCGTCGTGGACCCGCGGGCACCTCCCTCTCTGGGACGCAGAGCCCTTTCCCCGCTCTCACGGCTCCTGGTGCCAAGCGATGGGGCGGGGTTCCCTGGAACAGCAGTTTGGGAGTCCCCGGAACAGCAGGCTCCGGCAGGAGGGCTGGAGGAGGAGGACGTCTCCCCACCGCCCCGCCTGCCCTGCCCCTACCCTGCATTGCCCCCGGGCTCCCGTCACGCCGCCTGGATGCCTCCTGAGTGTTAGACCACATGGGAGTCCGGGGACAAAGTTCCAGCAGCTTCCGCAGCCCAGTCCCCTCGGCCAAAAAAAGGGCAGGAGCGGGTTCCCCTGAGGAGGGGCCGGGAGGAGAGGAGTCTTCCCGAGGCTCCAACCCCCCTGAGCACGGGGGAGCGGACAGAGACCAGCCCCGGGCCCCCAGAGGAAAGGGGGGCTCCCCGGGCCCCTGTTAGGGGATGTGCACCTCGTGGCCCAGGTGAGCAGCCGTAGACACCCCTCGCCCGCCGTCTCCTCCACCTGTAACCCGGTAACAGTAAGAGAAGCCACCCCGCTGCACCGTGGGCCTGGAATGCGGGTGACCCGCCCGCGCGAGGCGCTCAGGGCCCACGTGCTACCCACGAGGGGAAACCATGATTCTCTCCCAGCAGGAGCAACCCGCGCCTGGGGCCACGATGAACTGGGGGGTGTTCGAGGGGCTCCTGAGCGGCGTGAACAAGTACTCCACGGCCTTCGGGCGCATCTGGCTGTCCCTGGTCTTCATCTTCCGCGTGCTGGTGTACCTGGTGACAGCCGAGCGCGTGTGGAGCGATGACCACAAGGACTTCGACTGCAACACCCGGCAGCCCGGCTGCACCAACGTCTGCTTCGACCAGTTCTTCCCGTGTCGCACGTGCGCCTCTGGGCGCTGCAGCTCATCCTGGTCACCTGCCCATCGCTGCTCGTGCTCATGCACGTGGCCTACCGCGAGGCTCGGGAGAAGAAGCATCGCCAGGCGGCCGGGGAGGGCAGCGGCCGCCTCTACCTGGACCCCGGCAAGAAGCGGGGCGGGCTCTGGTGGACGTACGTCTGCAGCCTGGTGTGCAAGGCTGGCGTGGACACCGCCTTCCTGTGCGTGTTCCACTCCTTCTACCCCAAGTACACGCTCCCTCGTGTGGTCAAGTGCCACATCGCTCCGTGTCCCAACACGGTGGACTGCTTCATCTCCAAGCCCTCCGAGAAGAACATCTTCACGCTCTTCATGGTGACCACGGCCATCATCTGCATCCTGCTCAACCTCGTCGAGCTGGCCTACCTGGTGGGCAAGAGGTGCCGCAAGGGCTTGGCGCCGAGGACAGCCCGGGCCGAGGGCACGTGCTGCTGCCCGGACTGCGCCGCCTCCTCCCGCGCGGGGCGTGACCTCCTCTCAGGCGACCTCCTCCTGCTGGGCTCCGACTCTCAGCCTCCCCTCTCCCCCAACCACCCCCGGGACCACATGAAGAAGACCATCCTGTGAGAGCCGCCCGTGGAGCCCACCTCTCCCGCAGGGGCCGCCCCGGGGAGGGGGGCTGCACCTGCTGCAGCTGTGGGGCCTCGGCAGGTGACCCCCTCCTTGCTGAACCTCAGCTTCCTTCTGTGTAAGATGGGGCGACGCCCGCATCACAGGGCATCACAGGGAGGCGGCCGTGAGGATGTGCCGGGACCTCCGGGGGGCGGCGGGGATGGGGATACACGGTCAAGGCTTAATAAAGGTCAACTCATCCACCTGATTCAAGGTGCCCTTCGGCCCCTGTGACCCTTCTCAGGTCACTGGGTCAACCTCTCTGCACCTGCAAAGGCTGCACCTGACCCACCCAGAGGAGGGGCCTCCCCCCCCCCAGAAAAGGGCCCCCAGGCCTCGTGGGGGTCCTGCCCCTGTTCATGCTCAGGACAACCCTTCATCTGCGGTTGCAAGCTGAGGTCTGAGGGCTTCCTGCAAACGTGACAGGGCTTTGCACAGGGTGGGGTGGGGGGAGCTGGGGGCTGCAATGGAAAGTTCGTGAACTTTTGAGTCCGAACACTTGCATCCGCACCCGGGTTGCACTGGGGAGGCTGGGAAAGGGACTTCAGCTCCTCTCCAAAATGAGTTAATAATACAGAGCCTGGGGGCGGGGGTGGGAGGCCCCGGAGGAGCTCACGGGGTGGACAGGGGAAGCCAGCTGTAAAAGGCCACATAAATGTTAATCATTGGTATTAGGAAGTGCTCAATAAATGCTTGTGGGAAACGAAGCAGGGGAGCCCCTCCCTGGGTGCACATTAACCACCACGCCCCAGCCGCCAGCACAGCCGGGACGCCGCCCCCACTGGGAAGTACCCCAACTTCCCTACAGGGCTTCCCAGATGGCTCGGCCCGACAGGCCCCGCGGTGAGGTCCTGCCAACTGGGGCGCTTCTGGCTGCCGCCCCACACTCTTCTTCTCCCCCTTCCCCCCCTCGGGGGCCAAGGGTCTCCTGCCCTGAAAGAACCATAACCGGCCCCCCCATCCCCTATGCAGCCCACCATCGGCCCAAGCTCTGACCCCAGATACGTCCCCAGCGGGGTGGGACGTGATCCCCCGTACATCCCGGTGGCCCCGTCCTATCGATGCAGAGGACCTCGGAGCCCTGCTTCTGGAGAAGAGGGCAGAGGAGTGGCCTGGGGCCAGAGGGACCTGGGGCAATAGGGCAACGGCAAGGGCGGGGGGCCACACCCAGGGGTGCTGGGCCGACCTGGGTCCGGGCATCGGGGCAGCAGGTTCTGGGCTCAGCGCTGCCCCCCCGGCCCCCACCGGCGCACAGTCTCACCCACAAGCCTGCCAGCCCAGCAGACCAGCCATGCCCATCGGGCTGCAGGGAGGGCGTGGGCCGGGGGAGAAGGGCCCCAGGTGTTTGCTCTGAACATGTGCCCGGGGAAGTCCGCCCGCCTGCCCACCCGCTCACTCTCCCTTGGCTCATTGGCCCAGAAAGCTCCACCCTGCACAGGAGCAAGGAACAAAAGCTTCCCCCGGGAGGCCCTCAGGCAGACAGAGAAGCCCGGGACAGAGAGGCGAGGTGCTGCTAGACCCAGGAAAGGTGAGGAGCCATGTGGGCAGCCGGCAGGGGACCGGGCTGGAGGGCAGGGACCCGACGGGCTGAGGGTCCCCAGCACCTCGGGCTGCAGGCTAGGGTCCGGGGAGGAGGATCCCCGGAGAAACCCCAAGGGAGCCACGAGCAGGGAAGGGATGCCCTGTAGGACCAAAGGGAGGACAGAGGACCGGAGATGAGACAAGAAAGAGGAGGCCCCCGGAAGGGGGAGTTGCCGTCCATCCAAGGCCTATAGTGCTCCTGGGGCAGGCCAGGGGCTGGGAGCCGCCGGGTGGGCTGTAGAGCCGCAATCCCCACGCTGACAGCCCGAGCCAGGTGCACAGGCTGCGGAGTCCTGTCCCCGTCCTGCCGGGAAGGACAAAGGAGGGCACTCAGGAAACGTCCCAGGGTCACCAGGTCCCTGGAGGCCGAGGTCTGAGCCGGGGCCAGAGCTGGACCTGCTGGTGCTCCAGGTAAGGGAGCATGGGGGATGGAGCCCAGCGGAACAAGGGGAAACAGAGAAGGAGGGGAGAGGAAGGTCAGCGGTGGGGGCAGGAGCCTGCCCATCCCCTCCCCAGTCCCTCCCTAAAGCCCAAATGGTTGGAATTCCAGAGGAAGCCGCATGGTCCAGACAGTCTGCACCCCTGCAGGGAGGGGTGGGGGGGTGCCAAGCCCCCCACAGTTCCAAACAGCCTGCTCACGTTGAGGGATGTCCTCATGTCATCGGGGTCGGCCAGAGAGAGGGGCTATGGGAACGTGCCCCGCACGCCCGGCTCCGCTGACACAGCCCCCCACTCCCGCCCCTGCTGCCCTTGGCAGCTCAAAGGGGGGCAGTCATCCGACCCAGACCTTCTGCCCATATCCAGAGCAGCGGTCGTGTGACCCGCGGGGCCGAGAGTCGGGGTCAAAGAAGTGGGCGGGAGCAGCCGTATCCATGACTTTGTAGCATAAACAAGGCCCTGGTTTTGGAGCTAGAAGACAGGGGTCAAGGGCAGCTCGGCCACTTCCCGAGGACGGCCATCCCGACCCCCCGATGCTGTCGCCGTGAGGACGTGGTCACAGGCCCCTTCTTTGACCCCGGGCCCCCCTCTGCAGGCTCCACGCCCCGAGCGGGTGCTCCCAACGGCCAACGGTCCCCGCAAGGGCCCACGGACTCCCCCAGCATGAACTGGGCGTCCCTGCAGGGGCTCCTGAGCGGCGTGAACAAGTACTCCACGGCGCTGGGCCGCATCTGGCTGTCGGTGGTGTTCCTGTTCCGCGTGCTGGTGTACGTGGTGGCGGCCGAGGAGGTGTGGGACGACGAGCAGAAGGACTTTGTGTGCAACACCAGGCAGCCCGGCTGCCCCAACGTCTGCTACGACGAGTTCTTCCCCGTGTCGCACGTGCGCCTCTGGGCGCTGCAGCTCATCCTGGTCACCTGCCCGTCACTGCTCGTGGTCATGCACGTGGCCTACCGGCAGGAGCGCGAGCGCAAGCACCGGCTGAAGCACGGGCCCGGCGCACCGTCGCTGTACGACAACCCGAGCAAGAAGCGCGGCGGCCTGTGGTGGACCTACCTGCTGAGCCTCATCTTCAAGGCGGCCGTCGACTCGGGCTTCCTGTACATCTTCCACCGCCTGTACCAGGACTATGACATGCCCCGCGTGGTGGCCTGCTCCGAGGCCCCGTGCCCGCACACGGTCGACTGCTACATCTCCCGGCCCACCGAGAAGAAGGTCTTCACCTACTTCATGGTGGCCACGGCCGTCATCTGCATCCTGCTCAACCTCAGCGAGGTCACCTACCTGGTGGGCAAGAGGTGCCTGGAGACCTTCGGTCCGCGGCGCAGGCGGCCGCACCACCGGGACCACCTGCCCGATACGTGCCCCCCCTATGCCCTCTCCCAGGGAGAGCCCCCCCAGGATGGGAACTCCGTCCTCATGAAAGCGGGGTCAGCCTCGATGGACGCAGGTGGGTTCCCATAGCCTGGAGGTGGGTAGCGAGGACCACCAGGCCCGCGAGCTGCTCCCTAAGGCCACAGCCGGGCAGTGGCATCTCTTTGGCAGCAGGACAGGTGAGGAAGATGGTGGCAGGGCTCAGGAAGCCTGGCCAGGGGCCAGGGCTGGGGCGCGGCCGGGTGTCCGGGGCCCCGGGGGAGGGAGGTTGGTGGCTCGTGTGAATTTTGTACCTGGCAGTGGGGTATGTTACAGCCATTAATAAACATGATTTTCCTGGTATTTTGAGGGTCGGGGGTTTCGCAGTGGACCTCAGAACGGAGGCCCCAACCACTTGGTGGGCACCTGACCCCGGAACCTCGGGGCCCAGCTCACGTGTCATAAACACACACACACCCCACAGCACGCAGCTCACACGCATGTAGGGTGCACCCCGGGACGCGGGGGGAGCGCCAAGACGCTGCCCCAGGGGTCCCTGGACTTGGCGGGAGGCTGGGAGCTGGGGGACCCCAGGCCCAATGCAGGCCAGTTCTCAGGGGGAGACCCTCCAGGCACGCGTGGCTGAAGGAGGCTTCTGCTTCCCGCAGCACAGGAGTCAGGGAGGCAAGCCCCCCTCCAGGGCGGGGCCGAGCCCAGGGTGCGGGTCTCTCCCACAGGCGGGGCCTCCCAAGAACACCCGCATGGAGCCCCAGGTCGGAGGAACCCTCCTCCTGCGCCCCAGGCATGCATCCCCTCACCCTCCCAGCTGCACCCCAGCCCCTGGCGCCCCCAGAGCCACCCCCCCCAGCCTGGCCCTGCCTCAGAGCCTCAGAGCCCCCCGCCGACACCCCAGGGAGCAGCCCCCGGGGCACCTACAGCCGCCCAGCCGCCCATGCGGGACCCGGAGGCCGCTCGCCATCCGTCTGTGAGCCTGTCCCCAGCACGACGCTGACCACCCCGCTCCCCAGCCACCTCCAAGAACTGTTTGGTCGTGGGTCAGAGGGCTACAAGCCGCGCGGCGGAAGGGGCCTCATGCTCAGCTGAACCCTTCCCACCCCGCGTGGCCCCTCCTTGGTTCCCAAGTCCCATCACCGTTGCTTTGAGTGAGGGTAGCCTCGATGCTGCATTTGTAGCTGAGGAAGTGGCCCAGAGCGCGGAGGCCCCCGCCCAAGCGCAGCCTGGTGGGCTGAGTCCACAGGGCCGTGTCTCCTGGGGTCCGGAGGGAGCCCCTGAGCCTCCCCAACCCCAGGTGTGGGACGACATCAGGACCCACCTGGTCTTAGGTCAGACTCCCTGGAAGCAGAGCCGGGGGCGGGAATCTGGGTGTGTGAGGAGCAGAGGGCGAGGGGAGCACGAGGGAGGGGCCGAGCTGAGCTGGGTACAGGCTCAGGGAACCTCTCCTTGACCCCGGCGGGTTGCCGGGCCGCAGGACCACCCATCCCAGCACTGAGCTGTCCCCGCTGGAGGAAGAGGGGGCATCAGGCTTCGGAACGAGCTCCCATACCGGCCAGTCGTTGGCTCCCGGCCGCCCTGGGGGCAGGTCGGTGACTCCTAGTCAACCGAAGTCAATCCTGGGGGTGGGGGGGCAGCCTCAAGCCAGGAGCACCCTATATTCACAGCAGCTGGGGAATGCATGTCCATTTAAAGGGGATCCACTGACCACAGTAAATAAGGGCGGCCCCCCTCCAATGCAGACCAGAGCCGTGACCGCCCAGCCCCAGAACCAGTTCGGACCCTGAGGGCCCCACATGACTCAGGCCAGCCAAGAGTCCAGAGTCCCACTCCGGTCCCCAGCGCTCCACGGGGCGGGGTGGGGGGAGCCCAGAACCCGACCATCCGAGGAGCCTTCTTTGTGGGTGCTGTTCCCAGAGGCCCAGGTCCTGACCCCGAGCACCATCCGGGCAGCTGGAGGCCGCAGGGGACCCCGAGGATTCCCCCAGGAGTTGGGCTCTGGCGCTTCCATTCCCAGTAACCGCCCCCCGACGCTCTCAAGTCGCCCCCACCCCCAGCCCCACCCTCATGCCCGGCCCCTGCCATCCGTCCCCCCACCACCGCCCCACCCGCATCACCGCCCCACCCGCATCACCGCCCCTCATGGCTTCTCGCTCCCTGAAGACGTGAGGACCCGAGTCAGGGTCTTGGGGATCCCCTCACAGCCCGGGGCTGCAGGGACCGCCCAGGGGTCACTCTGTCCTCTTCATTCCATGCTCGGCGTCTCCCGTGGCCTCCTCCTCTGCCCCATTTAGCTGCCCACTCACAGGACCACACCTGGGCCTTGTCTTCACCCAAACTGCTCCACCCCTAGAATCTCCCAGTGGATTCCAGTCAACAAATATTTATTGTTCACGTTTACATGACAAGCCCCACGCTGGGCACCGAGGGTTCATCTGGGAGGCGTCAGATACAATCTCTGGTCTCAAGAGGACAGTTCCTAGGCCACCGGGGAGCACGGGGCCCTGGGGCGGGGGAAGGTGGATCCAACGTCCGGTGGCGCGGGACAGGCAGCTCTGGGGCTTCTTTACTTTTTTAAAGATTTTATTTACTCATTTGAGAGAATGTATGCTCAGACTCAGGGGCCAGGTGAGGGAAGCAGGTGCAGGAGAGGGAGACGCAGACGCTCCGCTGAGCAGGGAGCCCGACACGGGTCTCGATCCCAGGCCCCCAGGACCGGGACCTGAACCGCAGGCAGACGCTTCAATGACTGAGCCCCCGGGGCATCCCTTCCGAGACTCCTGAAGCTGACCCCTGGGGAAAGAAGAGGATTTTTTTTTTTTTTTTTTTTTTATGATAGTCACGGAGAGAGAGAGAGAGGCAGAGACACAGGCAGAGGGAGAAGCAGGCTCCATGCACCGGGAGCCCCGACGTGGGACTCGATCCCGGGTCTCCAGGATCGCGCCCTGGGCCAAAGGCAGGCGCCAAACCGCTGCGCCACCCAGGGATCCCGAGAGAAGAGGATTTTGCCAGAGCAGAGCAGGAGGGGGTGTGAGGCGGAGGGAGAGCAAGCCTGGTGACAAGGCCGAGCAGCAGGTTTGCAGGACACGCGGATGACACAGCGCAGACACGTGGCATCAGGGAGATAAATAAGGCACCCGGTCATCTCCTCCCTCCCGCCCACCCCGGGTCCCCAGGGTCTCTCCCTCCGATGCTACACCACCTACCATTCCTGGGGACCTGGCACCTCACACCCACCTCCCCGGGCTTCGACTCCCGTGTTTGCACCCATCCTCGTTGCCCTGCGCAGCCTCCCACGGGCGTGCTCACACCCCGTCCCCCAGCACCTGGACAATAAAGCGACCGGGACCGGCGGGTTTCGGGGGAGATTTCGGACCGCGAACCTCAGGAGGACACCCAGGCCCTCCAGCAAATTCTACATTTCTTAAAACTGTAGCCATCGTCTCCAAGATGACCGTATCATACCTTCTCTTGCCCCAAAGCTCCAGCCTCCGCTCCTAGAAACCTCCTCAGCATGGAGGCCAGCATTGGCCTCCCATCCACTCCACCTCCCCCCTGGGACGCGGATGCACATCCTTGCTCCTCGTACCCCCTTCACTTGGACACTGGAGCCTTGCCTCTCGCCTCCTCTGGACGGGGCTCCGCAGGTCTTGCCCCACAAGCCCGTAAATACCCTATAATGCCCTTTCTCCTTTTTTTAACTTCCCATTTGACACCACGTTGTCCTCCAGCTACCACCCCCTTTACAAAAAACCACAACTCCCTAAAGGCTGTCTACACTTGCCATCTCCACTCCCTTATCGCATTTACCCATCTTAGGTAGGACCATTCTTGCCAAGGTCACCAAAGGCCAACAAGCTGCCAAGTCCAGGGCTCAGCTCTTCATCCTCATCCTACGCCCTCAGTGACGTTTGGCCGTCGAGGGCTCCCTCCTGGCACATCGGCTTCCCGGGCTTCCCGGGCAGCAGCCCCTCCTGGCTTCCCTGCCACCTTGCAAAGGGTCCTCCTTGGTCTCCACCGATCCCTCCTCTTCCTCTCACTGATCTCCAAATGAGGGGTGCCCTAGGGCCCAGTTCTCTACCCTCTTTTCCCCTCTGTGATTTTCTCCACTAGCAGCTATAAAACCATCTATAAAACTGATAGCTCCCACATTTATACCTTCAGACCTAACCGCCCCCACGAGTGTTGGCCTCATGCATCCAACTTCCTGTGGGCCATCCCAAGCAGAACGCCTAATCCCTCCAACACAGAACAGATTCATGCTCTCTCCCAGTCTTCTCGCCTTGGACGGTGATGTCCCCATCCACCCGGCTGCTCAGTTCAAAAACCTCGGCGTCTCTTTCCTCATTCCCCACATCCACTCCATTAGTATAAGTCACGTTGGGTATAACTCCAAGTTCAAAGTCCATTCCCTCCCAACCATCTCCAAGTGCTTCCCCCACCACCACCCCCGCCGGCCAAGCCACCTCACTGAACACCTGCGTAGCTGCAGAAGCTGGCTCCCTGCCTCCTGTCTTGCTCCCCTGCGGTCCCTCCTGCCCACGGCAGCCTGGGACATCTTCTGCCAAGATCAGTCAAGCCACTCCCTTGCTTAAAACCCTCCCGGTGGCTTCCCACAATGGTCATAAGAAATGAAAATAGGCCAAATCCATTGCCGTGACCTGCATGGTTAGGCCCTGGCTGCCTCCCCAAACTCTTCTTCCTTGGCTCTCCCCTTTCCGCGCACCCTACGCTGGTCTTGTCCCATCTCATAGGCTTTGCACTGGCTCCTGTTGGCAATATTCCTCCCCCGCAGAGCTTCCCATGACTTGTCTCCTTGTCATCCACATCTCCTCCAGGAGGCCATCTCTGACCCGCCCTCCCCAGTGATGCCCGTATGCCACAGACAGTCACTCTCTGCCACATGACCCCATTTTATCTTCCTCGTAGCATCTACTAGTAATGAAATGTTGTTTAACATTTGTCTGTTCTCAGTGTCTTCTCACTAGGATACGCTCCTGAGAACAGGGACCCTGTCGTGTACACTCCTTTATCCACCAGCACCAAGAAGAGCGCTTGACACGTAGTAGGCACTCGATAAAAATGCACCCAGGTGGAGATGTCTAGTAGGCTATGGGATGGCGGGGAGGAAAGGACTGGTCAGGAAATGCTGACTTGGGAATTGTCAGCAAAGTACCTCAACATGGGATAAGACTTTGCTCTAAAATTATCCCTCGGGTCAGAAGGATCTGTCTTATATCCAAGTCCTCACAAAGTCTCCCACGTTGTAGGGCATGCTCTCAATTACTGCATTTTGAACAACCGAGTGCTCTTTGGGGGAAACTCATTAGCCTGAAATAACTCCAGTCAAT